TTTTTTTTTTTTTTTTTTCCCTCTGCCTCATTCACCCAGTGAAGGTGTCATTTTCAAAATGACCCTCTCTGTTCAGATTGCTCTACTCTGATCTTCAGGGCTTTGTCTCTCGTCTCTCAAACATGATCCACAGAAACCCAAGTTCTAGGCGTGGCTGGGCAGCTAGCACTGGGGCAAGATTGTCTCCAAGTCCTTTCTTTGTCTTTCCAGCCTTCTGAGTACCACAAGGATAGATTTTATGCTGTATACACTGTTTTAAATAACAGGCCAAAATGTACTCTGGACATTAGTCTGCCATGTGGCTGGTAAACCAGCTTTATTAGTATCATTATTCTAGTAAAGATGAATGTAACAAAGCATTTGCATTCCAACATTCTGCACACATACAGCTTGATGGCACTAATCATATTCATCATGTTGTGCCAACCTCACCCCATTCAACACTGCCCATCACCATTAGTGTCTCCGATGCAGTAAATCCCTTCTCCTCTCTCCCCTGCTCCTAGTAACCACTAATAACACTAAATAGCATTCCTACATACATAACTAAGTAAGGAGCCACTAATAACATTCCAATGGTACACAGTTGTCTATTCTAAAGCGTTCCATCTTTAGGATCTAAATTAAGTACTGGACTCACGTAGAGAAGGAGAGATGGCAAGGAGACCGTCTAAGAGGCTGCTGCAAGAGTCGGTGCTAAAGAGAATAGTCGGTGCCAAAGAGTTGGTGCTAATCGTCAGTGAGGGTGTGAGAGAAGCAGTGACAATGGAGATCTCTAGAGAGATGGCAATGAGAGGGAGGACAAGCCGGAAGACTCCAACGAGCCATCCCAGTTGTCTCCTTTGTTAGAAGTGATGTTTATGCCAACAGGGTTCAATCTTTCCCTAAACAAACATGATTGGAATACATAGTGGTTTCAAAATTCTGTTCCATATATATATATATGTTTTTTGTAATGTTTTTTTAAACAGGCCTGGAAGGAAGAACAAGACCGGTTAGCAGAAGAGGAACGCTTAAAGGAAGAAAAAAAAGCCGAAAAGAAGAGTAAAGACACTGGTAAAAGGAAAGGCCGAGAGAAGGTAGAAAAGGAAGACGGTCAGATTTTAAAGAAGAAGTCTTCTTTAAAGGATAAAGCTAAAGAGGAGCAAATGAAGGTCCCAGAGCCCACCGAGGAGCCTCTCCAGTCACCAGAACCGGAGACCGTTTATCCGGTAAAATCTAGTTTCTCAAAAGCTTCTGGGCTCATTGCTCACTGTTTGGAGAAAGTGAGGCTTCTATGGAAACCCTTGTTTTCACTGTCAAGGAATTGGAGTCTTCAGAGCTGCAGTCCCTCCTGAGATAGCTAGAACCTTCCTATAGTTAATCACCCAGAGAGGACTAGAACCTTCCTATAGTTAGTCAGTCACCCAGAGAGGACTAGAACCTTCCTATAGTTAGTCAATCACCCAGAGAGGACTAGAACCTTCGTATAGTTAATCACCCAGAGAGGACAAGAACCTTCCTATAGTTAATCAATCACCCAGAGAGGACTAGAACCTTCCTATAGTTAGTCACCCAGAGAGGACTAGAACCTTCCTATAGTTAATCACCCAGCAGGGAATCCCCTCAGGCCAGTTTTTCTGTTCTGTGAAGCTAGGTTCCTAGAGACAGTAAATGTGTTAATTTGACACAAAAGCGTTCATTTGGTGTTATGTAATTGGCAACCACCATGGTTACACGTTGGGCTGCAATCTGAAAAGTCAGCAGTTCCCAAACCAGGAGCTGGAGACAGACAAGGCTTTCTACTCCTACAATCAGTTACACTCTCGGAAACTCACAGGCAGATCGACCTGCCCTTATGGGTCACTACGTCGGCATCGACTTGATGGCAGTGAGCTTGATTTCTTTGGTTTCTCGGTTCCTCTAGGAGCCCAGGGGGTGGCAGGGCAGGTTAAGCGCTGGGCTGCTAAACACAAGTTGTCACTTGGAGTCTAACAGCAGCTCCTTGGCAGAAAGATGAGGCTGTCTGTTCTCTTAAAAGTCTACGGCCCGAGAGGAAGTGGAGTAGGAACTGACTCATGGCAGTGGGTTTAGTATAAGTCAATGTGAGGAGAGAAATACTGTTTTTGTCAGGTGATAGACTGCATGCTGCTGCCTCTGGGCATACAGCCAAGTTTCTAGGTGAGGGCTTTGAGGAGCCCTGCCTTTGCCTCTTTCTCCCTCAGGCAGCAATTAAGAAAAACCTAGTATAGATAAATGGGGCTGGGGGGGGGCGAGTTTTAATAATACCTGTACTTCTTTCCATCTGATACTTGAAGCCAATGGCTCTCAGGGTTCACCAGGCAGCAGAATTATCCAGACATCTTTTCAAACGCAAGTTGCTTGGCCCACCCTCCGGAAGTTTGGATTCGGTAGATCTGAGGTGAGGGTCACTAAGAGGGTCACTTGGCCCGAAGCTAAGGTGTTACTCAAATTGGTAGTTGTGCCCAGACCATAGTAAACCAGGTCAGCCACACCGAATGAACAGACAGACAACAGTTTTCATTCCCGTGGGCATAAGCAGAAAAAGGGCAGTGTTTCAGCATTCGCTAAATGTCAGCTTCAGAAAGATCTGGGTAAATAGAAGGTTGATACATGTTTTGTAGAAGCTAGCAGTCACATCTATGCATTCCATTTCACAGGACAGGCGTGTTTTCATCTCCGAAGGGAACAAAGGCAGCTCTTTCTATTGGAGCTGTAAGTTTATGGCAGGAAGGGCCTACACCAACTGTACGTTTTATCTCTAGTCCAGAGGATGGGACTCCAGCTCTGGACAAGTCCTAATCTTCAAAGCTGGCTTCTTGGGAATATTAGATCCTAGCATCTAGCATCCTCAACTCCTGGGCCTTTAGTAATGTTTTAGACATAGAGTCATTGTCATATTTTAGTACCCAAGTGCTTCCAGTCTTCTTGTTTACCTGAAACATTAGGTTCTTATAAAATGAATTATATTAACACCTGAGGGGGGGAAATATTTCTTTTTACTTTAACATGTAAGACTGGTAAGTGTAGTGTAGTGCCATTACCCCCTCAAAATAGTAGTTCATCTTAAGTAGAAAATTGGTGGCCAATTAAACAGAAAATGAATATCTACTCACACCGCCTAAGCAACATGATGATCATTTGGTTACACTGATGTGTGCGGCTGCCCAGTGATCAAGGTTGTACATCTCACTGTAACACCCCAGGAGAGGCTAAGGCTACTATGGAGAACGCCTCCGGGGTATACCACGTGACAGATGAATGACCACAAATTCAGCTTACAAGACACCAAACTCACTGTCATCTGCTCTATTGATCCCAACTCATAGCAAGCGGATCAGACCGAGTGGAACTGCCCCTGGGGGACGCTGAGATTGTCAATCTTGAGGGGCCCAGAACACTTCGTCTCTCTTCCACAGAGCAGCCGATGGTTTCAAACTGTTAACCTTGGGGTTCGCAGGCTAACGTGTAACCCACTACACCATCAGGGCTCCTTCAAATTAAGCTCATGGCATCTTTCATTAGCTACCACTGGTGAGTTGATCTTTGTCAATTACAGTGCCACCCTCAAAGTGTGATGTTTTCTTTTCTAGTTTCGAGGATACAATATGGGAGACATACCCATCCAGATCTCAGGGACAAATCACTATCTGTATCCTTCAGATGGAGGACAGATTGAAGTAGAAAAGACATCGTTTGAGAAAGGTACTTTATGAAAGTTACTGGTTATTGGCTTGAAATGTGTTAACCCATCGCGGACCCTCAGGAGACCTCGCAGCTCTTCCTGGGGTGATGAGTGACAATGGAGATTGGCCAACTACAGTCTATTTACATGTCATGTCCTGCATGTTCAGACATCATGAACTTCTCTTACAATGGACACTCTAAGGCAGGGGTCAGCTGAGGACTTAGTTTGGACACAAGTAGTGTAATAACATCAAATGTTAATACATTAAAATACTTCCATACTACTAATAAAGAATACGGTAATGACTATAATAAGCATAGCAATGAACTAGTAATATTAATGAAAACACATCCTGTTATCCCAGCATTCAGGAACACACTCTGTCTTTAGGGCATTGCTCTGGGCTGAACTCCTGAGCACAGAGCTCCAGGCCTATTGCAGAGACCTGGTGCCCAGAGATAATGCCTGGGGATTAAGACATCTGTAAGTGGGAAAGGAGAGCTGAGGAGGAAATGATTCATTTTTCCCCAGAGAAGAGCTCCAAGGAGGCTGCTAGGAATGTCCTGCTTTTCACTGTACCTCAAAGACCCCTCAGCAGGGTCTGGGGAGCTGTGTTTATGGAGGGGGGCAATGTTCTCTGAGAGCTATGCTGAGGTCGGTGTTAAAGGAATGTGACCAGGAGCCTGTTGAATGATGGGAAAACGATGTACCCAGCGTGGGCCAATGCCAGCTTACTTTGCTCCTCTCCTTCCTTCCTTATTCGGTGCCAGCCCACCCCTGCCACCTCCCTCTGCTCACTCTTTGGCACACAAAACTCACAGAGTGCCTGGGTAGTCACCTGGTTGTCAAGACACTGTGGTGCGTGCTTTCTCCCTTCCTGCACTTCCCCTTCCTTCTCCCTTCTGCCCTTTCTTCCCATTGTCTCTGGTATGTTTGTCCTTCATGGTGATCGATGTGATGAGGAAAGAAGTGCAAGGGTTAGGATATTAGTCCTTATGAGCTCAGGGCTCAGGAACAGGATTGTAGATTTTCACCATCACATCAAACAAAAGATCACACCCATGTATTTTGAATATATATATATATACTATATATATATATTCATATATATATGAATATGTATATATATTCATATACACGTATTCATATATATATTCATATATATATACTATTAAAGTGACTTAAGAATGGTTTATTGTATAATGGTTGCCAGTCTATAGTCTTGTTTAATTAATACATGAAAAGGGACTTTAAACATTTATACATCTATCTTTATGTATTTCTATTATCACACATTTTGATGTTTTTACTATCACATTGGGCTACAGTGCACAATACCATAGTAACCCCTGCTGTAGTATAGTATACAACTACTGCAACCAAAAATAGAGCTCACATAACTCGGGTGGCTGAGGAAAACCCTGGTTGCAAGCTTTGTAAGGTTTTCAGTCCATTTTAAGTCACCGTTTCCCACTCTCGTGAAGATTTGCATCTGTGCACTCCATGTATCAGTCCCAGTTGCCTCCTAGGAAGCACAGTGTTGCCTTCCTGTCGGTGTTGCCAGTGTTGATGGATGTGAGCTCCATCACAGGAGGAAAGAAAAACCTGCATGAAAAAGAAGGAAATCATAAAATACGGAAAATTTAGCGCCTTAGGAGGGATTATTATTTGTCCCACTAAGAATAATAACTACAATAGGTAATATTTTTGTCATTCTTTATGAGCTGTAAAACGTTTTACATTATTTATCTCAACTGATTAATCACAAAGTTGATTGTGGTGTACTTAGCCTCAGTCAGTTTCTTTTCTCTTCTGATAGAGTGGCTTCTGTGATTTGAGTTGAGATGGGACTAGAAGGCTTGCAAATACCTCCCTGATCCATCTGTCAATCATCCCAGGATTCCATAACTCTTTAGTCCCCTAGACATCACTTCATAAAGATGCCGATGCCCCTCCGTGCTTTCGCTGCCTGGTGTAAATTCTGTGCTGCACTATTTAAACCTCTTGTCAAGCACCTTAACGTGACACCGCACTCAGTCTGTTTTCTGTCCAATAATCGTTCCTTAGGCCCAACTTTTATCAAAGTGAAAGTTAAAAAGGATAAGCACAGTTTTATAATTCACTTAAGAGACCCTAAACCAATTGTGAGAAAGGAAATGAAAGAAGAGGATCATGCTTCAGAAGAAGAGAGCGAAGGAAAAACGGAGGAGGAAAAGTCTGAAGCAGGTAAGCAGCTGCGCCTTGATGATCCCCTACCACCCTCTGCAGTGGCATGGTTTCTGGCTCACAGTGACTGCAAGGTAATACTTAACTACTGTGCCAGCAAACCTATCCACGTAGCAGAAACTCAGATGAGTCCTTTATACTTAGCACATGGGAGTTTTCTACATGCTAACTGAGCTATTCCCGTGCCATTCTGCTTACATGCATTTTCCCTATTGTAATGTGTGGCTCAGCCCACTCTACAGTGGGATGCTCACTTGGTTTTGCTTCTGCTGGGGAGCCAGCTCTTGATTCCAGTTGGCATGCAGAGTTTAAGCCACACTGAGTTTGCAGTATCCATTTTGACCTTAATCTGGTTTCACACCCTGCAGAGGGGTTTTCCACTGATAAACACCACAAAACAGCCTGGTAACACCTTTTAAAATCCTCTGGCAACACCACCCGGGTACTTTAAATTTTTCCTACCCAACGTGGTGTGGATTATACCTGCAATAGAAGGTATAATCATTCTAAAGCTGGACTTGACATTGGTGATAAGATCATGTACAAATTAAGTCTCAGGGACGGTATTTCTCAGAGCTGAGATGAAAGCACCAGATCCAGCGAGTCTGAAGTTTCCTGTAAACTTTGTAACGGAAAATTCAAATTACTTTGTATTGCTTGACCTGATATAGAAGGAGTTGAACTTATTAAAAAATTAGAGAATATATACATATTTAAGGAAAGTTAACAAGTCCCCAAACCCATTGAGTCCATTCTGACGCATAGCAACCCTCTAGGGTGGAGTAGAATCACTCCATTGGATTTCCAAGGCTGTAAATCTTTCCAGGAGCAGAGAACATCATCTTTCTCATATGGCATGGCTGCTGTATTGGAAGCCTGATTTGTGGTTAGCAGCCCGCTGCTTAACCTGCTATGCCAGCGGGGCTGCTGATGAAGGTAATTGTTCTTGCTGTCAGGTGCCGTCAGTCTCTTCGGACTCCAGTGGGCAACAGAATGACACACTCTCTGCTCCTGCTGCATCCTCGCGATTATTGTTAGGTTGAAGCCACTGTGTGACTACCGTTTTACGGGTCTTCCTCATTTTCCCTGACCCTCTATTTGACCAAGCATGATGGCTCCCCAGGGACTGATCTCTCCTGCCAACATGACCAAAGTACAGGAATCACGTTTACTCATCTCAGTTCCTAAGAAGCATTCTGGCTGTGGTTCTTCCAAGACAGATATTTGTTGTGGTTCTGGCAGTCCGTATTTTCAATATTCTTGGCCAGCACCATAATGCCAATGTGTCCATGCATATGCTGTCTTCCTTATTTGTTGTCCAACTTTCACACACCTAGGGTCCAATGGAGAATACCGTGACTCGGGTCAGGTGCGCCCTAGGAAACCCTATGGAACAGTTAGACATCCTTGCTCTTCAAGAGTCCAAAGAGGTCTTGTGCAGCAGATTTGCCTAATGCAATACATCGTTCAATCTCTTGACTGTTGCTTCCATGAACATTGATCGTGGATCCAAACAAGACAAAATCCTTGACAACTTCAACCTTTCCTCCATTTGACACGATGTCACCGATTGGTGCAGCTGCACACGGAGCTGCTGTGCACAGCTTCACCTGTTCAAACCACCAGCAGCTCTTCAGGAGTAAAGCTGGGCTCCTGTAAATAGTTACAGTCTTGGAAACTCACAGGGCATCGCCATGCGTCAGCAAACGATGCGATGGCCATGAGTTTGGTTTGGTTTTGGTCCAGCTGTGAGGATTTTGTTCTTTCCATGGAGTTGCAATCCTGCAGCACTGAAGGCTGCAGTCCTTGATCATCAGCAGCAAGTGCTTCTCTTCCTCCCATTTGCACTAAGGCTGTGTCAAGGGTATTGCAGGTTGCTAATAAACCTTCCTCCAATCCTGATGTCACATTTCTCTCCATGTAATCCAGCTTCTCTGATTATTTGCTAGGCATACAGATTAAATCAACATGACGAGAGCATTGTACTTCAAGATAATCCTTGAAATGTTCTTTTGGGCAATGAATGTCATGCCGTTCCTCGTGATTGTGTTACTCCACGTGTAGTAAATCATATGATCTTCTGATTTTAAATGGCCAGTGCCAGTCCATTTCGGCTCACTAATGCCGACGCTATTGATGTTTTTGGATTCCGTTTCATTTGTGATGACTTCCAATTTTCCTAGATTCATATTTGCAGCTGCTTCTCCTTATTGTAAGTCAGGCCCTATCAGCACACGAAACTCACTAAATGCTGCACTTCCAGAGACTTTACCCGACTCACGTCACCGTGGAGGACTCAGCTCTGGGAAAACAGCTTCTCTTCTGTCACATTTTGAGTGCCCCCCCCATCCGGAGAGACCCATCCTCTGGCACTGTCTCTGACAATGTCTCGCTTCCATTCCTTAGGCCTTCGTGTCTGACAATGTTAAGAAGCTATGCCTAAGCCGTTCAGTGGCCCCTTCTTCCAAAGTGGGGAGCCGAGTCTGGCTTCACTGTCTGCTCTTAGGCTGAAGCTCTACTAAAACCTTTTCCCTTTGGGTGAACCTGCTGTCATTTGAAATACCGGTGACATAGCTTTCAGCTTCACAGCAGCAGACAAACCCCCACAAGGTGATACACTGACAGGCAAGTGGTGGAAGACTTCATTAGCCTTTCAAATTTTTCTCATGTGACCTCCTTCTTCATATTTAGCACCAAGGCCATATTTCTCAACTGCTGATTCTAACTGACACATTCCAATCACCAGTAGTTATAATGCATCTTGATTACATGCTTGTTCAATTTGGGACTGAAGAACTTTGTAGAATTCTTCAATTTCTTCTTTACCAGCTTTAGCTGATGTGTAAATTTGGATGGTAGTTGTGTTGCCTAGTCTTCCTTGTAAGCTTACAAGGAAGATAATATAATATTGTATATTATACATAATATATATTACAACTACATATATATATATATATATACATATATATGCTAGGTGCCAGTAAGTAAGTTCTGAACCATAACAATCCAACAGATGACAGAAAGAAATGTCTCCTAGTCCTGCACCCTCGTCACAATTTCTTTGTGTTTGAGCCCATTGTGGTGGTCACTGAATCACTCGAACTTGTCAGGGGTCGTCCTCTTTTTCGTTGCTCCTCTACTTTACCAAGATCGATGTTCTTTGTGATCCTCAGCAAAATTTTACTTCCAAGTGATATTAATGATAGGATTCTGTCATTTGGGCATTCTATTGAGACACCTTTCATTGAAATGTATATCAATATTGTCTTCCAAATGGTGTGCCATAAACAAGTGAATGCTTGCAGCGCTTTGTCAGCTTATTGAGACATTTCAGTTGGTATCCCATCCATTTCGGGAGCCTTGTTTTTGGCTAAAGCCTTCAGTGTAGCTTGGCCTTCTTCCTTCAATAGCATTGGTTCTTGTTCCTATGTTACCTTTTGCAATGGTTAAATGTTGACTATTTTGATTTGTTTTGTTTTGTTTTGCAGGTGGGTGGGGTGGTACAATGACTGTATTCTTTCCATTTTCTTTTGATGCTTCTTGCATCATTCAGTATTTGCCTATAGAATCTTTCGATATTGCAACTCAAGACTTGATTTTTTTTCTTCAGTTCTTTCAGTTAATGCAGTGGCTCTCAAGCTTAATGCCGTGACCCTTTCAGACAGTTCCTCATGTGGTGGTGACCCCCAACCATAAACTGACTTTCGTTGCTACTTCATCACTGTCATTTTGCTACTGTTATGAATCAGACGAGCCCTGTGAAAGGGTTGTTTGACCCCCAAAGGGGTCACAACGCAAAGGTTGAGAACCGTTGAGTTAAAGCTACGCTGAGCATGCTCTTCCTTTTCAATTTTCTAATGCTAGGTCTTTGCACCTTTCATTATAACAGTTTACTTTGTCTTCTAGAACTGTCCTTTAGAATTTTCTGTGCAGCTCCTTGACTTTATGACTTCTTCCACTTGCCTTAGCTGCTCTACAATTAAGAGCCAGTTTGACAGAGAAACCATTTGATCTAGTGCTAATAACTTCCCTTATCCACATGATGTGATTCTGTCTTTGCCCCTTTTAAGGCTTAATTAATTTTTCTCTTTAAATTGTATTTGTGAGATTGGACTCTCTTCTGTACCCTAAAATAAGTGGCCTGATCAGAAATTTTTCCCTTTGAGCCAGGGGGGAAAATGTACTTCCCTTCAAATTCCCATGGGCCTTCAGAGACTCCACAGGAATAAGCACTCTTGGAATTACAGGCCCATGTTCTGCTGTGTGTTTTCTCAGTTTGGGATTGTTCGTTTATTCTCTCTGTCCGGTTTACCTTTACCAACCCTGTAAGCTCTTCTATCTGACATAACGTACTTGTTCTGTTACAGACAAAATGTATGGTCCTATTTCTGCTTTTATAGTCCCATCTATAACTCTATAACAGATGTATTGATCTGCCACCAATCATGAATTTGTGATAGCTTCTTTTGTTTCATGCCTATCTAGACTAAGTCCTGAGACATCACTTTGACCTCATGCTAATGATCTCTGTCATCAGTTGACATGTCTGTGTCTTTGTTCCTTAATAATAAATATTCTCCTTAAATGATTTTTTCAAAAAAAGAGGTCTCAGAGTGTCTTCTGAAATCCACTCTGACTATCTATTTCCTCCTTTTTAGTGACATTTGCTTTCTTCTTCTATGATGTTCTTGACGTCATCTCACAGCACATCGGTTATCCTGTCTTTAGTGCTCGATGCATCTGTTCTTGAGATGGTCTCAAAATCCAGGTGCTGTATACTCAAAGTCGTATTTTAGCTCTTGTGGACTTGTTTCAATTTTCTTCAGTTTCAGCTTGAACTTACATATGAGCAATTGATGGTCTGTTGCACAGTCAATCCCTGGCCTGATTTTAGGTGCTGAAATTGAGCTTCTCCATTGTCTCTTCCCACAGATGTGGTAAGTTTGATTTCTGTGTGTTCCATCTGGACAAGTCCACATATAGTCGACTTTTGTGTTGTTGATAATGGTATTTGCAATGAAGAATATCAAGGCTTTGAATGTTCTTCACTACTTCCTTTGTTTTAAGTATTTACTCTGGGTTTTGAAATGCTTTTTTCACCTTATATCACAAGAAAATCCTTTAAATCTCAAAGTGACTTTTTCCCCTTCTGTTAATCTCCTGAGTTGTTTGATTGGAAGAAAATAACTTCCTGCGATGAAGTCAATTCTGACTCAAAGCATCCTTATTATACAGAGTAGAACTGGCCCTGTAGGTTTCTGAGATTATAACTCAGTGGTTCTCCACCTTCCTAATGCCACGACCCTTTAATACAGTACCTCATGTTGTGGTGACCCCAACCATAAAATTATTTTTGTTGCTACTTCATCACTGTCATTTTGCTACTATTATGAATCGGGCAACCCTTGTGAAAGGGTCGTTCAACCCCCAAAGGGGTCACAACCCACAGGTTGAGAACTACTGCTATAACTCTTTACAAGTGTAAAAAGCCTGTTTCCCATGGAGCAGCTGGTAGTTTTGAACCACTGACCTTGCAGTTTGCAACCAAATCCTTGACCCACTGCACCACCAGGCTCCTTATGATTAGAAAAGTGTGTTTTTAAATTTCAGAAAGTTTCTTTTTAATATCCTCATGTTTTTTAAAAGGGCCATATGTTTCTTGAACTCTTATTTCTCAACTTTTTAATTTCATCTGAGCATGTATTGCACTTTTTGCTTTGTTCATTTTTTTATCTTCTAACTAGTATGTTTCTCTCTGTGTTAGTCTGGGTACTTTAGAGAAACAAATCCACAGAAACTCAGGTATAAGAGAGAGTTTTATATAAAGGTTAAGTGCGCATCAAGAAAACATCCCGACCCAGTGCTGCCCAAGCCCACAAGTCCAACATTAGCCCATTAACCCATATGTCCAACACCAATCCACAAAATCCTCCTCCATCTCACAAAATAGATGCAATGATGCTGACTGCAGGAGGAAAGCCAAGTCAGTGAATGTGTAAACATCTCAGTGCTGACAGGTGTTTCCATACGGGTGCTCCAGCACCCAGGGCGGCATCGGGGTAGGTCCATGTGGCTTCTCCTCAAGGATGTCTTGCAGGAAGTCAGCCTTGCCAGCTAAAGCAGGGAACTGGCTAAGGCAGCTGCACCCTGGTCCGACCGTCAGAAAGCAAGAGACCCAAGAACTAGAAAGGCGAGGCTCACTGAGCCATTTATCCCTCCGCCTTTCAATTAACCCCACATGTATTTATCAGCCAGGTTGGCATAATAAACTAACTACCTCACTCTCCATTAGGCCACTTATGTGGGTTATTTCAACATTCTGTCCCTCAAATTTCTACCAACATGCTCTCTTTTCTTAATCATCTATGATGGTATCTCTTTCACTATAGAGGAACACTATTCAGTGGTAGAATTCTCATCTTCCATGTGAGAGACTCAGGTTGATTCCAAGTCGCTACATTTCATGAGCCAACACTGTCAGCGATGGTTTCCCTGTTGCTATGACACTGAGCAGCTTCCAGTGGAGCTTCCAGAATAAGACAGACTAATAAAAACATGCCTGGTGATCTCCTTCCAAAGATCAGCCAATGAAAGCCCCGTGGACCAATTACAAGAATCTAAGTATAGCCTCCTCCCTGGGGAATGGACAGCAGAGAAGAGGGCAGAGGGAGACGTCAGACAGGGTAACTTATGCCAAATCTATAATAATTTATGAATTATGAAGGGTTCAGGAGGGAGGGAGGGGGAAAATGAGCAAACGATATTGAGGGCTAAAGTAGAGGGCAAATGTTTTGAGATTGATGAGGGCAACAGGTGTACATAGGTGCTTGACTCAATGGATGGATGGATGTACTGTGATAAGAAATGTACGAGCCCTCAATAAAGTAATTTTTTAAAAAAAGAATAATGAGGGTAACAAATGTACAAATGTACAAATGTGCTTTATACAATTGATGTATGTATGGATTGTGATGAGTTGTATGAGCCCCCAGTTTAAAAATTAATTAATTAATTAATTTTTTAAAAAGCCCTGTGGACCAAAGCTATTCCATATGAAACCAGTCCTGGTTCAGGAGCAGGCAGCTCTGTAATGTCATTGTCGGGTTGCATGAGTTGGGGCTGACTTGCCACGAACTAGCATTCCCCTTGTCAACACTGAGTGTTATTCTTTGTTCCGTTTATTATTTGTATTTTCCCATCTAGAAAGGGTCTCTTTGTAGATCAGAATATTTTAAATTATCATTGACTCATACTAATCATCTATGACAATAATTAATAAATTCTACACATGCACTTTCAGAATGTGTGCTTAAGCATATTTTGCTTTTAAATTACACTTCTCTGAAAGGAATTAAAAATATATGAAATTTTCAGCATGGGGATTTTATAATTCATTTCAAAACATGGGGAAATTGAGACAGAGTTGATGGATTTTATTTCAAAATTCATGTGGATGCTGTGTCAAATGAGCAATTTGTGTACGTTTATTCCAACAGCTAGTTTGTTTCCTCTCAATTTTAGCCTAAACTCCTTAAAACAAGAGTTGTATACATTCTCCCTAACAGTCCTGAGCACATGATAAGAGTGAAACTAATTATTTTTAAGTTGAATATGAGAGACCAACTAAGATTACCAATCCGAGCCTTCAAACTGAATCTTGTTTACTTTTCTTTTGAATATGGGATTCAAATATGGATTGAATATGTAATCCACTCATTTGTTTTTCTTTTAGAAGGATCAACTGTCAAGAAAAATTATATAAGCAAATTTGGATCTTTTTCTGCCACCTTGGAAAATGGAATCTGCCTCTCAATAAGTTACTATGGCTGCAGTGGAATGCCCCCAGGTGAAATGAACACAACAGAAAGGCTAAGTGTGTCACCTGGCTGAGAGTACCCGTCTGTCTTCAATCCGCTCTTCCCTTGCTCATAAACACTTTCTGATTTAACGCCGTTCCCATAGCTTTCCCTGTAGAGTGTGCACGGGGGCAGGATGGCTGGATGATATGCCTACAGTCAGCCCTCATGTAAGCTGTTTCTGTATCCACTTACTCAACCACTTGTGGGTAGAAAATATTGAGAAGATAGAGAAAAAACTCATGATAAACGAAGAAAAGATTGAGGTTGGCAAAGATGTTTTTTTCTTGCTTGTATCCATAATTGATGCCCATGGAAGCAGCAGTCAAACCAGATCAAAAAGTGTGTTGCATTTGGCAAATCTGTACAAGACCTCTATAGAATGTTGAAAAGCAAGGATGTTATTTTGAGGACTACAGTGTGCCTGACCCAAACCATTTTGTTTCAATGGCCTCATATGCGTGTGAAAGTTGGACACTGAATGAAGAAGACCGAAGAAGACCCGATGCATTTGAATGGTGGTGCTGGCAAATAATATTGAAAGTACCAAAAGGACAAGCCAGTCTGTCTTGGAAGAAGTACAGCCAGCCTGCTCCTTAGAGGCAAGGATGGCGAGGCTTTGTCTTACATACTTTGGACATGTTGTCAGGAAAGACTAGTCCCTGGAGAAGGACATCATGTTTGGTGAAGTGGAAGGGCAGTACAAAAGAAGATGGCCTTCAATGCGATGGATTGACACAGTGGCTGCAACAATGGGCTGAAGCATAAGAACAATTGTGAGAATGGCTCACAACAGGGCGGCATTTCGTTCCAGTGTACATGGGGTTGCTGTGGATCAGAACTGACTCAGTGGCATGTAACAATAAGAATATGTATTGCACCCCACTTGATACCCCTCATAACTGTCCCTGAAGAACTGGGATGTGGGAGATGTGCATTTGTGTATGAATATGTGTAAGTCATACATATACATACACTGTAGGAGATACATGAAGTACACACATAAGAAGACTCACTAATAAGCAGTGTTAGATGGATGACTTAACCTTGTTTGACATGTGAAGACGTGAAGTACTTATTGATGAAAATCAGTATGGATTACACCTTTGGAAACAAAAATCCTTACAACTGGACTAATAAGAAATAGAAGCAGATAAAATATTGAAGTGTCTAATGATTTAATTTTTCATGTATCCATAATCAATTACCATGGAAGCAGCAGTCTAAACTCAAGCAATGTAGTGCACCAGGCAAATCTCCTACACAAGACCTCCTTGAAGTATTAAAAAAGAACTAAGAAGCACCTGACTCAAGCATTGTATTTTCAACCACTTTATAGGGATGCGGGTGCTGGACATTGAATAAGAAAAACCAAAGATGATGCATTTGAACTATGATGTTAGCAAAGAATATTGAATTTACCATGAACTGTCAGAAAAGGAACAAATCTATCTTAGAAGAACTATAGCCTAAACGGTCATTAGAAACAAAGATGGTGGGACTCACTCGCTTTGAAGATATTATTGGGAGGCATGAGTCCCTGGAGAAAGACATCATCCTTGGTAAAATAGAGGGTCAGTTAAAAGGAGGAAAATCTTCGACAGATAGATTGCCAGAGTGGCTGCAACAATGCTCTCAAACATAGCAATGTCATTGAACCAGGATGTCATTGAACCAGGCACATGGGATCACTATAGGTGAAAACCTATTTGTTGACATCTAACAACAGCAACAACAGTAATTCAATTATCTTAGTTAACTAGCCAATGAATGTAGTATGTTAGTTGGTGCCAAAGAAAATTTGATTTGTCAAGAAGTCCTCTTATTTTTCTACAAAATAATATTTTTATGAATCCTATAATTGTGAAACTACTCAATGTGTTTCATGACATCAGTCTTAAAGGAGCCATTCATCGGACATGTTGGAGAATTGCTCTACCAGGCTTCCAATGAACACATTCTCAACTGGGAGCTCTTTTCTTATGTGCCACAAGGTGCTAGGTTGCATTACCAAGAACGAGTGAGGAAATCTTGTGAGTTCTAATGAGTTTCAGAAGCATCTAACCACAACACACACAAAAGCAAACCCAACCAACGAAAAAGAATTATAAGATCAAAGGTAATCTCTATGCTATTTAGTCTTAAAACTGCACTGTCATTAGTGTATTGTTGTAGCTCATGGTAATCCAATAGTCTGTTTTACCAGGTAGTTATTTTTATGAAGACTCACCATTCTCCGGAAGCATCTTAATTTTGTTTCTTCTATGGGCCCCAAATCCTAGTACGTCAGTAAGTTAGAGAGTCCATTAATTGTGTTACTAGTTTTGCTTTATTTTGGAGTTTGCCTTTTAATTTTATATTTGAATTGTTTTAAGCCAAAAACTGAAGACCTCTTGGAATTTAACAAATTAACTTGTTAAAATTCATAATCGCTATTAACTAAGCAATTCTACCTCCTTTGAGAAGGCTGCTGCTGCAGCAAAAGACACCGCTACAGCGTTAAAGAACCAATACGTCACTTTGAAGACTAAGGGGTGCCTGACCCAAGCCACGGCATTTTCAGTCACCTCACATGCACATAAAATCTGGGTCACGAATAAGAAAAACCACTGAGACTTGATGCATTTGAACTATGGTGTTGGCAAAAAATACTCAAAGCACCACGGACTGCCAAAAGCACAAACATATCAGTCTTGGAGGAAGAGCTGTCGGATGCTCCTTAGTAAGAATGATGGCGGGACATCATCTCAGGTACTGTGCCCATGTTATCAGAAGAGAACTGTCCCTGGAAAAGGACAGCATGCTTGGTAGAGTCAGTGAAGAAGAGGTAGACCCTCAGCAAGATGGATGGACACATCGGCTGCAACAATGGACTCAAACATAACAATTGTGAGAATGGCCTGGGACTGGACAATAACTCATTGTGCTGTACATTGGGTTGCTATGAGTGGGATTCATTCTTCATCACCTAACAACAGCAGCATAGTATTCAGCCGCTAGCCACAATGCTAGTCATTTCAACCCACCATAAAGATTTACAACCTTGGATGTCCTATCCAGCGGTGCTACTCTGCCCTACGGGGTTGTTAGGGACTTGATGGAATTGAACTTGAGTTTGACCTATCACTAAGGGGTTTACAATCTAGATGTAGAGGCAAGCACATGTGACCCAATCAAGCATTATCAAAGTATTCACTTCTTTTTAGATATTCTCAAAGTACAGTCCTGTTGAAGACTTTTTCCAATTTACTTTACAACCCTTGGGATCTATCCAGCTGATAAGCAAATAAGATTTAGCAAGGTCAAAGTATTGCTAACTTGGGTGCATTTTCATAATGGAAGTCTTGTTGAACAAACAGATCACATGTGGATGTTTCATTTGCTTGTTTCCTCCTTCCTCTGTCAGCAGAGGATCAAGACCCTATGCTGGAAACCATGCTGAATATCCCTTCAGCGTTGACTCCAACGGTGATCCCTGTTGTAGTAACTGTTCCTCAAGGCAAACAGAAAGGAGGGAAAGCAAAAGGCAAAGAAAAACCCAAAGAATCCATCAAAGAGGAGGAGCACCCTAAAGAAGAGGAAAAAAAGGTAAATGATCCTGGCTGTGGACTTCCAACCTGTTTCTTCATCGGTGCTAAGTTGTTAAAAAGTCTTTGGTTATGGGAAAGATGTTACTACAATGATTTTTAATCGTGCATATGCATTAACCTCCTTCTTCCTCTCAACTTTGAACGAGCAAGAGTTTGTTGTGGGGAAGTTGGACTGCAGACAGAAGCCTCGTCCTGCGTACGCTGGTGTCCGTCATTCATTCCAAGCTCAGAATGACCAGCTCTTCCTTCTTTCTACCTTGGTCCTTGGTTACTCCTAGCTTCGGGTTGGTTTTCTTACCTTTAGTGCTTTGTGGAGCTGTAGAGAACAACTGGAAGGGAGATGCTTCACGATCCTGGGCAAGTCACATCCTAAACACTCCAAGTGAATCAAGGACTTGTTTCGAAAATCAGAATCAGTTATTCACATGCTAACTCATTTGTTTTACAGGAAGAAGTAGAACCGGAACCTTTGGTACAAGAGACTGTTTATGTTCCCACCTTCCCAAACCTAAATGCTTCTTGCCCCAATGGGCTCCTGTTGACCTTTATTGGGCAAGAGTCTACAGGTAAGTGCTAGCTTGGGTGGCGTGAGGCAGTGGGGGGAAAATATAGAAAGAAGTCAAATCACCATAGGAAAATGTGCTTTTGCCCACCAATTGAGCATATTTGTTGTTGATATTGAACAATAAGAATTATTTTAAAACAATGATCATTTTAATTTTGAGCACTTGTTATATGCTAGGCACTGCTTTAAGTACTTAATACACATGCCCCCCCCAAATAAGAGCATAACAAAATGTAAATATTATGAGGGTTAATATAAATAAGTATTTGACAAAATAAAGAAGTTGAGGCTTTAGAAGATTCAGTAACTTGCCCAGGGTCACCCAGCCCCTCGGTGGCAGAGCTAAGATGTCCTTCTGGATCCAGTGATGGCAGAACTCTGAACAACTACTGTGTAGTCCACTCTTCCTTCTCTGGACAAAGAGCCGCAGACCCTGGGCTTTGTAAATCTGATCGAAACAAAATAAACCAAAGCCGAACCCAACTTGCTGCCATCGAGTCCGTGCTGACTCATAACAATCCTGTAGGTAGGAACATGGTGGAATTCCCCCTGTGCTTTTCTGAGCCTGCACCTGGTTGTGGGAGTAGAAAGCCCTGTGTCTCTCCTGAGGAATGAGTGGTGATTTTCAACGGCTGACCTTGCAGGTAGCAGCCCACCTCGTAACCCCTACTCCACCAGGGCTCCTTAAGGATGTAATTTTATAATCTCTTATTTCTTTTGATTCCACATATAGCTCCTAACCAGTGGTAGGATTCAAATAATTTAGCAACTGGTTTGCTGCTTTAATGACCTTTGTAAGCATAGAAAACGATATACGAAAAAGGTAGTTTATTATTTCAACCTGATATCAGAACACTGCTGTTGCACAGATGAACATTAAAAAAGACTATATTTGTGTTCCCACATTGAGAAGCTGTCCAGCTGCCTACCTTAGAGAGAACCCTCAGAATAAGTGCCATTTTAACAACCAGTTCACCAAGGTCAGCAAAATATTTGCTATCTGTTCTGCCAAACCAGTTCCCACCCGCTGAATTCCGCACTGCTCCTAGCTGATGATTGTTGTTAACTGCCTCAGACTTGGCCCCTGCCTCATGGAAACCTCCTGCACAAGATAAAGCACCACCCAGTGCTGTGCCATCTTATGATCAGTTCCCAATCCGATTTCTTTGATTCCCTGGATTTCCATTCATTGGGTCTCAGAAGTAGATCTCTATGTCTTTCTTCCTAAACTGCCTTCTGGAAGCTATGTTGAAACCTTGCCACCATCGTTACAACACACAAGCCCCCATTGAAACACAGGCAGTGGCTGGGGAAGAGATGCATTAGCCAGGACTGGAACTAGGTCTCCCTCATGGGAGGCAAGAATTCCACCACTGAACTACCATTGCCCCATCCCAATGGACTAAGTTGTAAAAATAAGAGATTTGAAGGTAATCAAGCGGCCATCAAGCTCAGAAGCAACAAAGCCCACATGGAAGAAGCACACCAGCCTATCCAACCACGAGGTGTCGAAGGGATCAGGTGTAAGGCATCATCAGAACAAAAAATCTTACCATAGTGAATGATGGGGGGAGTGCGGAGTGGAGATCCAAAGCCCATTAGTAGGCCACTGGAGATCCCCTTGCAGAGGAGTCTAGGGGAGGAGATGAGCCAGTCACGGTGCGATGTAACAATGATGAGAAATACAACCTTCCCTCTAGTTCCTAAAGGTTTCCTCCCCGCTCCCACTACCATGACTCGAATTCTATCTTGCAAGACTGGCTAGACCAGAGGAGGTACACTGGTACAGATAGGAACTGAAAATACAGGGAATCCAGGATGGATGAGCCCTATAGGACCAGTGGTGTGAGTGGCAAAACAGGGAGGGTAAAGGGAGAAGGGGTAGGAAAGAGGGAACCGATTACATGGAACTGTGTGTGACCTCCTCCCTGGGGGACAGACAACCGAAAAGTGGATGAAGGGAGACGTCGGACAGGGCAAGATATGACAAAATACCCATTTATAAACTATCAAGGGCTCATGCGGGCGGGGGGAGCGGGGAGGGAGGGGAAAAATGAGGACCTAATATCGGGGGTTTAAATGGAGAGAAAATGTTTTGAGAAACGATGTACAAATGTGCTTTACACAATTGATGTGTGTATGGATTGGGATAACAGTTGTATGAGCCCCTAATAAAATGTTAAAAAAAAAAAAAAAGAGATTCTTGAATTCATCTGGTAGGACATGCACATTAGTGGTTGAATTTGCATCTCCTTCAAATGGAGACCCTTTGTTACAGTTGAAATACGAGAGACAACAAAGGAAGCATGAAACCAGAGCTCAGGTCCAAAAGCTGCCTCTGGCATGAGCTAACAATACGGTCTTTTAGTTTCTTAATGTCTCTGGACCCTGTTTCCTCATTTGACAAATGTTAGGTTATGTAACCGGATCTCAATGTTTTCCCCACCAAGAATCTTTCAGGTACAATTTCCTTATTTCACAGTATTTAAGGAGAGTATATCCATTAAAATGAAAAAGAAATAAAACCATTGTCCCTATTTAAGTTATTTTTGTATTTACTTGCCAGCTGAAATAAAAGAAGCGAAATATTACCATTCTCTGCATTGCCTTCCTGCAGATTGATTTTGCTTTCCAGACAATGTGATGGCGTATAGACCCATGGTTTTTATTGTATTGCTCAGGAGTTGTAGTCGTCCACATTCTCCAAGACGGGACACACTCTTAGATGGCCCCTCCCTGTCCCCATGTATAGTGTGCTATGAATCTACTGAGAGGGAGACTGTTTGCACCTTTGAGGGAGTGTTAGTTCACTTGTCCACTTGTTCCCTTGGGCTCGTTAACAAACTCCAGCTGAAGGGCTTGTTCCACTGCGTTTTCCATCCGTTCTATCATTAAATAGTGTAGTTAATAATTCTTCCTGGAACACATAACCTATTAAAAATCGCCCTTATGTTAAGAATATTCCATTGTGAATGTAATTATACTTAAATTAGCAAATAAACCTTGGAAATAGGAGGGGAAAGCCACACGGCATAAAAGGAGCAGAGATTGAGTGCTTTCCTGGGTGATGTTGGCAAGCCATAACCCCAATCCTGCTTAATATGTTCATATATAAAATAATAACATCTACAAAACCGACTTTGTGGACACTGTTATTTTTCTTATTTTCCTAAGTGTTGCATGAGAAAATGCTTTCTATCCTGGCTCATATTATGTATGTTGGGATTTCATTTGTTGTTCTGAGGGTGGCGGGTATTTTTCCCATAGAAGATAATGGCTAAACACACAGATTAGGTTCAAACCCCAGCTTTGCCACACACTGGCTGTATGACCTTGGCAAAGTGCTGCCCCATACCCCTCCATTTCTTCATCAGAAAACTCTAGAAAGAAAGTGTGTTTACACATCTTGTGGAGGGAGGCTGTATAAGATACATATATAAAGTATTTAGCATATCAAATTATCACAATAAATATTCATTACTTTATCATTACCCTTGTAATTTGATAGGGTACCATGAATGGCCTTCATTCCAAAATATTTTTCCCACTTGCCTAATATAATCCTTGATATGTCACCATTTACATGGTAATTATTTTTTGCATGAAGATGATATAGTTCTAAGAAACTAATTTATAAATTAAGAAGAGGAAGCTACTTATTTAGCAAAATGCACCAAAAGATTCTTGACTATTTCCTCTTAAAAGAAACAGTATTTGCCTTTTCAGCTGCAGAATGAGCCAGTCCCAACTGTAAAATGTTTAAGTTGTTACAGTGAATTTTCACTTTTCACTTCCTGCAATATAGAAATACTGACCCACGTTACAAATTTTAAAAAGGAGCATGTGTAATTGTTTTCTTCTTAATTTCCACCTAAAAGCAGAACTTTGTGGGTTTGGGTTCAAGGTGACAGGACTGCTTTAACTTGAAAGATGGTGCACTCTGTAGGAAGGGCAAGCCTGAGTGTGACTTCCCCTGGGCTCTTGGCAACTGGGCTAGTCCAGGTAGACTAGAGAAACAAATGCAAGAAGACTCATGTGTATAAGAAAGAGCTTTATATAAAAGAGTAATTGTATATTAAGAAAACATTTTTTCTGTAAACACAATTGCCTTATTTAGTTTTGCTGTAAACTGACTTAACCTAAGATGCACTGTTGTTATGCATTCTAATATGTGTTTGATAAAGGTGATATAATAAAGATGAAAAATAGGGAGGGGGGAAAGAAAACATCCCAGACTACCCCAGAGCAAGTTCATAAGTCTGATATTAGCCCATATGTCCAATACCAGTCTGTAAATTCTTCTTCAGACTCATGCAACACATGTAATGACACCGAGTGCAGGAAGATGACAGGCCAGTGGGTGGACAGTCTTGTGGATCCGATGGTGGTGGAAGCATCTCAATGCTGGCATGGGTCTCCATGTGGCTCCTCCAGCTCCAGACCTCTGCTTGCCATCATCATAGCTCCATGTCTTGTCAATAGTAATGTCTTTCAGGGAGAGAGTGAATCTGGCCTCCAGTGAGATATTTATCTCCTTCGTACCTCCAAATGGGGTCATCCAGTTGCAACCTGATTGACAGGCTAACCTCCACCCCTTTGTAAGTTGACCGAAGATTATGTAACTGCCACAGCAACCAAGGGACCCCCCGAGGAGCATGTGAACCCAGGGGTGAAGGTTACTCAAAGCCTCACAAGACTCAGCAAAGGGAAAATCAGGAAACCTTAAGGTAGCAAATTCTGTGTCCTTCAAAGTTGTGCCCCCATTTTCTTGAAGAGAGTGACTTCATTCAAGAGGTTGCATGTTCACAGGGAAGGCACCCATCCTGGGCTTGCAGAAGCCTGATATTTACTATATTGGACTGCGACAGAAATATCAAAGGACCTGTACTCTGGGTCATCATCTGCCAAGATGTGGAAGCAGTCATGATAGCCAAAGCCAGCAAAAAGAATGAAAATAACTAAGACTAGAAGATGACACCCCAGCCCCAGAACACTGTCCAGTCGACAGGAAGGTTTGATGTTATTTTCTTTTCTTTTTAAGATCTCTTTGATGGGGATGGGGAACCCACTTGGGACATCATGGTTCGACAGAGCTACCCGCAGAGGCTGAAGCACTCGGAGTTCTATAAAACGGTGATGCCACCAGTGGAGCAGGAGGCATCGAGGGTTATCACCAGCCAGGGCACGGTCATCAAATACATGCTGGATGGCACCACAGAGGTAACATATACATTATTCTGCTTTGATGCCAAGAAGTATGGGTACATATCGACTTATAGGTAAGGGGTAATAGGGGGGAGGAGGAACAATGCACTTAAAAATGGAAGAATGACATTTTACAATGACAAATGAAGAGGACGTTGATTGCAGAAAAGGGCATACTGTGTGCTTTTAAAAGTAGGAAAGGTATGCATCAGGGTTGGATCCTTTCACCATCATTATTAAAGCCGTGTGCTGAGCAAAAGATCCTGAAAGCCTGGACTGTATGAAGAACAAAGCAGCAGCGTTGGAGGAAGGCTTACTAATAACCTGTGACGTGTAAAGGTCACAGCCTTGTCTGCTGAAAGAGAAGAGGACTTGATGCTCTTGCTGGTGGAGACCAAAGACTGCAGCCTTGCGTGTGGACTGCAAGTCAATGCAAGGGGGAAACAATTCTTAGACGTGCACCAATAAACCCCATGATGAAAAAGAGAAAAAAAGATTGAAGGTGTCCTAGATGTCCTTTTACTTGGATCCCCAAGCAATGCTCATGGAAACAGCAGTCAAGAAACCAAACAGCGTGTTGCCTTAGACAAATCTACCGCACAAGACCTCTTTCAAGGGTTGTGAAGCAAATATGTCACTCTGAGGACTAGGATGCGCCTGCCCCAAGCCATAGTGTTTTCGATTGCCTTATGTGCATGTAAAAAGGTGGACAGTTAAAAAAGGAGACCAGAGCAGAACTGACTCATTTGAATCACGGTGTTGGTGAAGAATGCGCGCAGTGAAAGTATCATGGACTACCAGAAGAGCAAACAAATCTGTCATGGAGGAAGTACAGCCAGAATGTTCCTCAGAAGCAAGACTTTGTCTCACATATTTTGGCCATGCTACCAGGAGAGACCAGTGTTTAGAAAAAGGAGACCACCATGGGTCAAGGGCAGCAGAAAAAGAAGAAGGACCACAACAAGCCGGACTGACACAGTGACTGCAGCAATGGGCTCAAACACAACAACTGTGCAAACGACTCCGGATCTGGCAGTTTTTCATTCTGTTGCACACAGGGCCGGTGCTGTGAGTAGAAATCAACTCAATGGCACCAAATGACAGCAACAACAATGGCCACAGAAAAAAACACCCACTTTGTTATAATACGACCTACAAAATTGTCATTTTTACACATGCTCCAACAGGGCAGACTGAAGGCATTGTTAACCTCCCTGTGTTAGGCTGTCTTGTGATGCTTGTATGTGTGTGTATACAGAAAGAGAGTTATATCAAGAAATGCTCCTGTCGTTATAGAAGTGGTTAAGTCCAGTTTGGTTCAAGTCTGTGGAGGCTTTTCCTGACTCTTGGCACTGCAGGAACTGACAAACGGGAAGGAGCAACATGACAGACTGGCGGGGGCAGACTTGAATGAATCCAAGGGCAGCAGTCTACTGCTGGCTTCCGGGATTGGCAGGTAACATCACAGGAGATCCAGAAACTAGATGCAGGATCCACATCAGCAGAGACGTGAGTTAGCTTCCACAGCCACAGCTCAGATGCAACCTCTCGCAACTGTACGGAGACAGCTGAAGGAGGTGTCGCCCCACCCTAGGCAGAAGGTTTTCGGTGACTGGTCCCTCCAAAATGGGCAGCCAGTTCCTTCTCTGTAGTTTGTTCTTGGTCTTGAAACCATGCTGAAGTTGTTCATTCTGGGTGACTCTGCTGGCATTTGAAATACCAGTGACACAGTTTTCAGCATCACAGCAACACACAGGCCACCACAGCACAACAAACTGACAGATGAGTGGTGGAAGAACACACGCAGCTTGTGTTAACTGAAAGAACTAAAGAAAAAAATTAAGCCTCAAGTTGCAATATCGAAAGATGCTATGGGAAAAAATATTGAATGATGAAGGGAGCATCAAGAGAAGATGGAAAGAATACATAGCGTCACTGTTCCAAACACAATTGATTAACAGTCTACCGTCTCAGGAGATAGCACATGAGCAAGAACCAATGGTGCTGAAGGGAAAAGTTCAAGCTGCACTGAAAACATTATCTGTTTAGGTGGGGTTGACTAGAGAAACAAATCCAGCAAAACGCATCTATGTGTAAGACAGAACTTTATATCGAGAAGTAATTGTGCATCAATAAAACATCCCAGCCCAGTCCATCTCAAGCCCATAAGTCTGATACTAGTCCATAGGTTCCTCTGCAGAATCACCAAGTCACATGCTATGATGCAGAATGCAGGCACATCACCAGCTGGTGGGTGCAAAGTCTTGCGTATCCAATGAGAGTGGACATATCTCCAGGGCTCCCATAGATCTCCACGTGATGTCAAAAGGAAGAGGAAGGTAGCTAGAGAGAGGGAGGTTTCCAGGACCTGCCCACAAGGAGGCATCATCAGGCTGTGACCCAATTGACAGGCTAGACTCCACCCCCTACACTCCAAGTTGATGCAAAATTATGTAACTACCACATTATACAAAAAAAAAAAGGCTCCCGGAATTGATGGAATACAAATTTAACTGTCTCAACAAGCTTATGAAGCACTGGAAGCATTCACTCCTCTATTCAAGGAAATTTGGAATACAGCTACTTGGCCAAATGACTGGAAAACATTCATATTTCTGCCCCTTTCAAAGAAAGGTGACCCAAAATAATGCACAAATTAGAAAACAGTATCAATAATATCACATGCAAGTAAAAGTTTCCTGAAAATCATCCAACAAAGTTTGCAGCAGTACATTGACAGGGCACTGCCAGAGGTTCAGACCAGAGTCAGAAGAGGAAGTGGAACAAGGGTTATCATTGCTGATGTCAAATGGATCTTGACTGAAAGCAGAGACTACCAGAAATCACTTGTGCTTTATTGACTATGCAAAGGCATTTGACCCTGTGAATCATAACAAACTATGGATAACCTTGAAAAGAATGGGATTTAAAATCAAGAAAGGTGTAGGGCAGAGTGGTATTCTCTCACTGCACTTTTCCTTCTGCATGCTGGGCAAATCCTCAGAGGAACTGGCTTAGATGAAGAAGCATTCCGCATCAGGATTGGAGGAAGGCTCATTAACAACGTGCCTTGGACAGAGGCCACAACCTTGCTTGCTGAACGTGAGGAGGACTGGAGCACTCGCTGATGAAGAGCAAGCATTGCTGCCTTCCGTGTGGATTACAACTCCATGTAAAGAGAAGCAATGTCTCACAGCTGGGCCAATCGGTGACGCCATGATCATTGTAGAAAACAGTGATGTTATTAAGGATGTTTTATTGCTCGGGTACCCAATCAATGCAAGGAAAGTAGCAGACAAAGTAACAAGCACTGCATTCCATGAAGTAAATATACTGCACATGACCTCTTCAGAGTGCTGGAAAGCAAGGATGATACTTTGAGGACCAAAGTGTCCCTGATCAAAGGCACGGTATTTTCCAATTGCCTCATATGCATGGGAAAGTTGGAAAGTGACTAAAGAAGACCGAAGAAGAATTGCTACGTTTGAATTATGATGCTGGGGAAGAGTATTGAAAGTCCTGTGGGCTGCCAAAAGAACAACCAAACCTGTCTTGGAAGAACAGCCAGCAGCAAGGATGGCCATGGTCATGTCGTCAGGAGAGACCAGTCCCTGGACATGGTGCTTGGTCAAGGAAAGGGGCAGCCTAAACGAGGAAGGTCTTCGAGGATGTGGGTTGACAGTGGCTGCAACAAGGGGCTCAAGCACAGGAACAATTGTGAGGATGGCACAGCACCCATGGGTGTTTCCTTCTCTTGTTCAAAGAGCTGCTTTGGGTTGGGATGGGCTCAATGGCACCTAACAACAACAACAACAACAGACTCCGCCCCATTCTTTCCACAGCTGATGGGCTACGTCACAGAAGGAGCCCATCACGGAGTTGACCTCATCGTGCTACCTCACCAGAGTTGACATACAACCTAACTGTGACACTCTCCTCCCTCTGAAGTCACCTTAAAATAAGAAGGGAAATGCCTTTCAGCAGTGAATGCACAACAGCACCGGAGAACAGAAAAATATGTCACTCATAGATCAGAACATTGGGATAATTCTTAGAAATTGCAAGACAGGTGGGATCAGAATGACGGAGAAATAAGCATGCCGTGTAAAACACTTACCAGGGGAAACTGAAGAACAAAAGTGAGAGATCGATCACAGACATTTCACAAGTGCAGCGACAGGTTCAGAAAAACAGGGAGTGCCCAGGGAACTGAGCACTACCTGAAGAGCCAAACGTCCGGCTCTATCCTGTCCCCACGGTCACAGGAGAGGTGCTCCTATGGCAACGCACCGACTTCACCCAGATGGGAGAAGAGATTCTCAAAAAGAAATATGAGGATGCATCCAAGAATCATCCGTCTTTGAAGTAAACCAATCTTAGGAAAAAGAAGTGCACATTTCAATAGATGGGCCAAATGGCACCTAAAATTACAATAAATAATTCAATATAAACACGTAAATAAGACAGGAAAAAACCTGAAAGTTAGTAAAATTAGCATTTGACTCTATAAATAATTGAGAAGTCCTAGGCTTCTAAAATAATGTTTTAAGCTGCAATAGAAAAAGTTCAAGAGTTTTTAGAGATTAAAAGTAATGATTTTGAAAGATGAAACAGGTGGTGGGGTTCTGAGAGAAAGGAAAACTAAGAGACTCAAGAAGTAATATGTAAAGTGTCTTTCCGAAAGAAGAAAATAGTAAGATTGAAGGAGGAAATGATCATTTTTTTTTAAATTCCAGAGTTTAAAAAAGATGACTCAGTATTCAGGACTATGAAGCGCTAATCAGGATTGATACCAATTGTCTTCAAAACATCCACATCCAGATAAGTCAGAGCACACTGTAGGACTCCGTGGATACACAGACGTCCCCAGAGCAACCAGTCACCTGTAAAAGAAGAAGTTACAGGGGGACGGCAGGCTTCTTGCTGGCAACACAGAAGCTACAAATAAGAGACTCTTGCCGTATTTATTGGAAAGCTATACAACACTCGCTGGTTGTATCTGTAGGACCTATCGCTATTTGACGTAGTAGATCGAGATTGAGATAAACTAATTGTCTACATGTGTGAGCTCAAGCTTTACTAGTAGTGATTAGAAAATTTGAAATATAATTGGTAACCGCCCATCGCATACAAAAAGGGGTGAAGAATGGGGAGGAATGGGGAAATGTTTTTTACAACAATCCCACCAAAGACAGGAAATAAAAGGGAGAAGGGAGATGAATTGCAAATATTGTGCTGACCATTCAATGATTGTCTCTGGGGTCCAAATCCACTCTGCTCTCACATGCTCTGCGCGGCTGAGCGTGGGCACAGGCACCTATTTCCCCTTGGCATTACTTTTCACTCATTGGCATTACTTTTCACTGTTGTTAACCAGTATCTACCTCACTTCTGAGAACCTGAGACATTTTTCTATTCCTTCAGATCCTTTTTGCCGACGGTGCTGTAAGCCACAGCCCTGATTCCGGCCCTGTTTGTCCTTCTGAAATGCTAATGAGCCTTCACAGTACCGATCTAACGGAATCACCTTCGCAGCAAAAGTTGGACACCGCGCCATCTGAGATTGCCGTCACCAAGAAAGGTAGTGGCTCAAGCCTCGGGGTGTATCGTGGATTTGCGAAAGAAGCCTTCCAGAGACAGACAGGTTTTCCTCACATTAACATGCCTGGGCGGTGCCACCAATCGAAAGGTTGGCGGCCTGTGCCCACCCAGAGAAGTACCTGAGGAGAAAGGCCAGACAACAGCCATTTGAAGCCAGAGTCAGGTCTCCCGGAAGTTGTCAGAAAGGGCAACCCTTGGCAATTCTGTGTAAATGGATTTCTTGAGAGAACTCCAAGCCTGTCTTGCCCCCTCTAGTGGCTGCTACTCAGGGTTGGGCTACTAACCTTAACACCAGCAGTTCGAAACACGGAGGGAGCTCCGAGGGAGAAAGATTGGGCCTTCTATTCCGACAAAGAGTTCCAGTCTCAGAAATCCACGGGGCAGTTCCGCCCTGTCTATAAGGTCCCCGTGGACCGGAGGAGCTGGCTTGATGACAGTGAGTGGGTCTGTGGGCCCTTATGAGACCCCAGCAACTTCTTTCTTATTTTAGATTGCCTTCTCCCTCACCCAAGTTCACACTTGTCAGTCCTCTAACCTGGGACCAAGTTTGTGTTTATAACTGATTTTAAACTCATTTTTGGACCCATTATGTATACACACGCATATGGTCAAGGTGTGTTTGTTTGCTTGGTTTTTAAAGTTCTGTATATTCTTTAAAGGGGCCTGTTTCCTGCTCTTTTTGCTGGGTACACCCTTGTCTTCATGTTTCTTAGATCATACTTCTTAGCTGTATTGTCCAGCTTTGGATCCAAGACCAGGAAACGTTCTTTTTTAAGGACATGATAGGCACATAGTTTGGATTTGGTGGTCCAGGTGGTCTCCCTCACAACCACTCAGCTCTGCTGGTAGGACATGAGAGCAGACAAATGCGCCTGGCTGTCGTCTTAGTCATCTGGTGTTACTGCACTAGACACATCACAGATGGATGGCTGTCGCAAACAAAGTCATTCTCTCATACCTTCTTTTTTTTTTTTTTTTCTTTTTTTTTTTTTTTTTTTTTTAACATTTTATTAGGGGCTCATACAACT